ACAAACAGAGCCAAGTGCATCGTGGGGAATCCTCAGTGTCACTGTGGGTTCGGTCACACAGACTACGTTCACACTGCAGCTGAGTAACACTGAAAGCAGCCGACACTGCTCAGAGGAGCCATTAGTCCTGGAAAGTTCACACACAGGGCTCGACCTGATGTCCTAATTGGAGCGTGAACGCAGTCAGGCTGCGGAGTAAAAACCTGAATCAGCAGGTAGAAAATGAAGATACACAGACAGGAGGGCTAGGCTGAATATGAACACCTGTTTTCCTATATATAAATGACTATAAGAGGTCTGGGAGTTTGAGCTTCACCAAAACAGAGGCACTAAACAAAAAGGTGCAGTGAGAGTCACTGAATTTATTTGTATCAATGGAATAAATCTGGTCAGGAAAGAGCAAACACACGGCCTGAAGCGGGAAACAGTCAGCACTGGATAGCCAAGAGAAAATCAGTACGACACACCACTGGAAGCTGAGCTCGGAAAGTGAAATGATAGAGGAGGAAAAGTTAGAGCTTAAGTTAAAGGGGAAGTGAGCTGATTTCACACATCAAAGTCTGTTTACAGGTGCTGGGGAGGCCTTCTGCATGTGTGAAAAAGTTCTCTAAAGCTTTCTGTGGCTTCAGAAGGAACTGTGTGAAGCTCCACATCTCTGCTTGAGGCTATAGCAGCTAACCACTAGCCGCTACGAGCATAACACACCCAAACCTCCAGCCAAACTGCACTGTGCACTCCTACGTCTGGTGGATAACCTGCTGGGAAAATATAAAACATTACGCTACATTAAGTCCAAAATATTTCAAGGCACCTGTTCAAGAAAACGTTCCTGGGAAGAGCAATCATCGGCTAAAATTAGTTCAAGAAAAACAAATCTGTTATAATTATAGAAATATATTAATAATATCATTCATTTCATGCTGGATCAGTGCTAGTATCAGTATTTTGCATCCATGACATTGCTTGTCCACTTTAAATTGAATTTTCTGTCAGCTTTTCTGTCTCTTTTTGCATATGTACTTCATGCATATGGAGTCAACGGATTTTAAATTTAGGAAAAACAGCAGCAGTGTCAATATCTGGTAGCAGCAGATACATAACTGACACCCAGCCAAATTTACACTGACAGGTTACTCCAAACACGTCTATTTCTAATGCTCCCTGAGCATCACGCAATGCTCTCACACACACACACACACACACACAGACACACACAGACACACACACACACAGACACACACAGACACACACACACGACACCTACATGCACAACAGCCACACACGCGAACACCGACAACACAACACAAACACGACAACAAACAGCACACAACGACTACGACACAACAAACACACACCACACACACACACACAACACGGACAACACACACAGCACGAGCATGGGTGCCGCTCACCGCGCACACACACACTCCGAGGCAGGCCACACCACAACCAGACACACAGAATCAAACAAGACCAGACACAGACAAATCACACACCTTCTAGGTCTGCCAGCTATGGCTCTGTTTAAGGGTTAAGGTTAGAATAAGGTTTGAGTTTGGGTCTGTTTGGGAAACGCATTACATCACCGCGCCCTCACTCGGACTGCACAACAAACGTGCCTGTGTCTCTGAAGTGTTTTAGGGCTCTTGTAGTTTTTTGCCAAACTCATGAATGTTTAATGTTCAGTTTAGTAGAAACATCTCATTGTCCCAAAGTCTAAAATCAGACACAGTTCAACAGCGAAAAACATCTTGTACTCTCCTGAACCGTGAACTCTCTCTCTTTTTCTAGCACTTCTCTCACACGAAACCATTATGTAATACCACCGGCCTTCTTGTGAAATAGAAGATGCAGATTCACTCAGCTGAGGCGAAGATGCTGAAGCGCGTCCGTGAGTCAAACCGTCTTTTTTGGAACAGTGACCAGGTGAGGAATTACAACTGCAACCGAATCACAAGCTCATTCCCTTCAGCAGCCAAAGTGTGTACGCTACCAGCCAAGTGCCCTCACTCACTGTTTATAAGAGATCTGTAACAGCTAAACTGTTGATGTGTGTCAGTGTGTGTGTGTNNNTGGCTGGCTGGTTGGCTGGCTGGCTGGCTGGCTGGCAGGACTTCACTCACCGAGCGTGGTTGCAGACAGCGAGGCTAAACAGAGCGTGACTGATGATCGTATCTGACGACAGCCAGCTCCGTCTCACCAGGAAGTGTGTAGGTGAGGGGACGGCGCAGGAAGCTCAGCGTTAATGTGTTCACCAGCTATACAGTAAAGCTCCTTCTGTCAGAACTGTCCACATGCAAAAAGTACTTACTGTAATCAACTAGAGACAGTAACCAGTAGCCTTTAGCATTAGCCCCAATAATAGTGTTCATGATATATGGAAGTTAACATATTTACGAGCTTCTAATCTGCAAATACATATATCTCATATCTCATAGATAGAGTAACGTACATACAGCGCTCTGATGTGCGTCTGCGTGGTCGCAATATTGGGGATCTGCTAGTTTATTGAAAGATGCAGACTTCACTATAAAATCAACTTGCTAACTTGCTTTATTCTGAATGCTGGCTACCTGTTGGAATGAATTCAGTCACCAAGAGTCCCTGCTCGGAGAAACACTGCAGGCATGTGCAGCATGTGGATGTACAAACAGACATAAAACAGACACTGATAACAAAACAGCTATGGCCAAACCTCAAAGAATGAAACCAATGAATACATGTGTGTGTGTGTGAGGTGGTGCATAAAGTATCAACACACGACACTACAACTTACTGCCTAACCTAGGAAACTGGAAAGAAAAATGGTGGGGAAATAATTCACCTGTTGAATGATGTTTTCCTGTAGACAAATCGCATATTTCACAAATAACAAGCAGCAGGTGGCTTTCTAACACTATGATAAACTGACAAAAGCTGACATTCTAAATAATCTACATGTTGTCTGTTCATAGATCGCTGCCTGCACATCCCAGTGGAAGTTGTGACCATTCAGAAGGTTCTTTTTTTGGCATTGAGCTGATTAGAGCCAGGATGTAATTAAATGTAGAAGCTAGTTAATTATCAGAATGTATTAGCTTATCACAAATACAGTGGTACGAGCAGATATGTCTGCCAACAGGAGACGAGAAATTGCAGCTCAGAAAAGAATTAAGGAACAATGTCACTCTGAGTTAACTTTAGAAATGTTAGGTAATGTTATTTATGTAAAACAATGAAAATGTTCTGCTGATTTATTGTTCTTACATTTTTATTCAGCTGAATTTGCTGTTTTTCCTTTTTCTTTCTTCCACTTTTACGATAATACGCAAAACCCACTTGTGACACAGCATTACCTAGTGTGTAAATTACACTCCGTATCAGTAACACTGAGAGCAACCATGTTACCATGAAATACAAAGAAGTGCTGTGTGTGCAGCATCAGGGTGAACAAACAGTCAGGAGCCGTGGCTGCCGGCTGCCGGTTGGTGCAGCAGTCTGACTGATGAGCTGTTATCCGCTGCTAATTTCCCGGCCTGTTGTCAGGTGTAAATAGGTTAAGCAGTGTTTATCGCTGCAGGGCTGACATTCTCTGGGTTTGATATGCTGCCAACATGGTGACGAAGCTGATCCATCCATCAGGACTCACACAGGCACAGCATGTCTGAACTGGAGCCAGACGAGAAAGCTCCACTGAAACTCTGCCACTCACTTCCTTACACTTAAGATTAACAAATTCTCTTACTCTTTTTCCACTGAAGACTTCCTGTCCTCATCCAGTCCATGTCTCTATGTTTAAATGTCACAATCCTAACTAATCCTGAGTAACACAGCAGTAAACACCCAGATGAAAATGATTCTGGGTTGGTGTGCCACAGAAGACAGCTCGTCTTCATGCTGTCTGTTAGTGGTTTTCAACCGTCCCCAAGTTCACTTCCCTTCTACAAAGCCACCAGTTACTACTTTTAAAAGTATGTTTCCTGTTAGACTGCAAACGCAACCAAGCTCAAAGTTATCAACGAGGGTGGAAACAAACCATGTCGTATTTGTGATATAGAAGGACACACTTTAAAATTCAAATTATGACTCAAATCAGAAAATGTTTGATAAAAAAACAAAGTAAAGAAGACTAAAATGCGTTTGATGCCCACTTTAAATACTTGACTGTGGTGCTGAAACAATTAGCGGATGAATATATCGGTTAGTTAAAAGAAAATGAAACACCAAAAAGGCCATAAAATACTTTGGATTATTCAGGTAACCAGCAGAAATGCATTCTGTGCCTCCAGATTCTCAAACGTGCAGGTTCTTGTTGCAGCAGGAGGAGCCAGAGGAACCTGATGTTTACACAAATGACCTTTCTCGTGCACTACTGTCAGGATAGAGTGAAAGTTTCTGCAAATATGACTAAAAAGTTACTTTTATAAAAGTTACCTGCTGCAGCTTTAATGAATGGCGCTCCCATACTGTGGTTTTTACTCTCTACTTTAATTCTGTGGGGACAGCTAACAAAGTCATTGGTTTAGAAAAGCTCACATGAACATTAAGATAAAGGAACTTTAATAATCCACATCACCGCCTCCCAATGTCAGGTGGCATTAGTCATTAATGTATAAGATCCTGTGGTGAGGAGCAGTCACCCTAAGCCTGTGTGTGGGCTGTAAGACATGACTCATTTACATTAATGTTCTGAGCTCAGTCTTACCTCTGGACAGTACAAGTGGATACAGAGAAAGGTTGCATCACGCCCAGTGACACACTCCCTGGCTGTGAAATAAAATGATCCACACTTCCCCTGGAACCACAGACACTAACGGGAACCAGGGACTTGCAGCATTAAATCAAATGGCAGCTTATGTGCAGTTGGACCAGACAGTGACACACAATCTCCTCTCTCAAACTTCCAGGTACCGTTGAGACGTTGAAGGTGCCTGTGACGTTTGAGAGGATCCACCAGCCTCAACATGCAAACTCAACTCACTCACCCGATGAAACAACACAAACACAGCCGTGTCTCTCACCTTTGTCGCGGCTCTGAGGACACCGAGTTGCAGCTCTGTACTGACAGCAGTGTGGAGGACTTCCGCGGTCCCAGTGGCGACGGTAGCAGGCTGTTGTTTGACGGGGACGGGGAGAGCAGGTTCCCCGGCGATGGGAACGAGCCTCTGCGGCACTCCACCAGCACCTCCGCGCTGCCCACATCGTTGAACCCGCTGTCCGACGGCAGGATGAGGATAGGCGGTATGGAGAGGAGTCCTGGCCGCGGTGCCATGGAGGGACTGACGTTCCCGTAGCTCGCGGATGCTGCCAAAGGTGAGAATGTCCCGTAGCTGTCGGTACGGAGCTCCGGGCACAACCCGGCCGCTGCCGCCGCCGCAGAGCCGGAGTCGGCTCCCTCCAGGTCGGTGTCTTTGTGGTGGCGACTTCCTACATTCTCGGCTGAATTACTGTGGACTGGCCGTCCGTCCAGGGAGATGTTACTCAGAAACCGAAGAGCAGCTTGTCTCCGGCGAGAGTTCTCCCGGTTCCTCCGACTGTGTTCCCTGTTACTATGCGTCTTTTTGCCGCTAACGCCGGCCGCTAGCGCAGCGCTGTGCTGGCCGCAGGCAGCAGCCGCCGCCATGGTCCCACTGAGGAAGTCAACTGGAGGATCAGCTCGAGACCCGCAGCTGTCAAATCCCTTTTACCCGGCGCGAGACCGCTTTACGCCCTCCTCGGCTCTCATTGGCTCAGACGGGACTGCGTAATGACGTGTGGCACCGCACAAGAGCCTTCGGGGAGGCGTTCTGCCACGCTCTCTCTACATACTGCCACACAATGTAAACACAGTGGAAGAAAAGGGGGAACGCACACTCACAAATAATCGTTTTATTAAATGAAACATTGTTTCAAATGGCAAATGAAGAAACAGTGTATTTAAATTAGTATCTAAAAACCGTGTTCATCCCTTTTTTCTCTTTATGCTCATCTTCCTAAAGCAACTAAGAAGTCAGGGAGTGTTGTAGTGCTTTTAAACATTTTAAATCTTGTTTCAGTAACTTGTTTGTCTTGTGTGGACAATTTTTGATACTAATGGTCTGTTTGAAAAATCACCTGATTTGAACGAGGCTTTAGATTATGTTATGGTGGCTAGTTGGTAACTCATATCTGCTTCTTTTTGTATGTGCACTGCACATAAATAAATATATAAACTAAATACCCTTGCACCATGTGGTTCCAAGCTGTATATTGATTTTATTTTACGCATTTTCTCCTTTCTGTTTTTTATCTTACTTAAGCGGTGTTAGTTGCTGTTAATATTTTCTGCAGTGTCTGTGTAATTCCTCTGTGCATCTCCGGAGTATCAGGGAGTATCAGGGCTGCTGAGGCATTAACTGAGCTGTCACTGCGGCTCTACCTGACAGCGGCTTTGATTGGCTGTTGGCACTTTGTTATGAAACCTCAGAGGATTTTTTCTCTGCAGTGATCCCTGCAGTGACACCAACACTGGGCTGAGTGGCACCTGGCCAGCTAAGCAGTCTGATGACACTATGTAGTATGACTGTTAGCCCACTAAATATAACCTGTAGGTTAGACCACACTGTAATCCCTGCAGGCTGGGAGTTTGTTATTGTACACTCAACCCCTGATCCCCTACATCTGCAGAGCAACAAATGAACTATATGACCTTCCAGCTCAGCTGGAACAACAGCAGGATGGAAATCCAAAACTCACATCATTTAATTCTGTTTGATCTTTCTGAAAATCCATTTTCATTCCCATGATGTAATGTCTCATTATAATATATGTTTTTTGTCTATGCAAAGGAGCTGGCCGGGGGTTCAACATTAATCTTTATTAATGTGTGTTGTTACAAAAGCCTCCCAAACGGTGTTATAATAAAAATACTGTACAATTGTAAACGCTGGTCTTTAGTGTGGGCAGGTGGTCTTTGGTATTTGTGGCCACACCCAGCTGGGATGCACCACACACAGGGTGGAAAAAGCATTGAGATGCCACCATATGGCAGCACAAGCCAGATTTTTTGTGTAATTGCACTTATAATTGCAAATGTTATCTCTTGTATCTGTGTGTGGAATATACGAGATAAAAATGACAATTAAATATAAACACACTCTTGAAAAATGTGATTTTTAACCAACATTTTACATCCAATATAAACTACACTTAATATATTATTATATCAGTATATGTAGAAGTGTGTTTGGGCCAGATAGGCTGTGCCATCGCTGTGTGAATGTTCATTAGTTACTTTCTGATGAGCAGTTGGCACCTTGAATGGCAGCCTCTGCCATCAGTTTAGGAATATGTGGGAATAGTTGAATGTGACGTTGTGCAAAGTGCTTGAAATCCATTTACCATTAAAGTAAAAATACATTATATATTGGATATTTAAAAATTATAAACCAATTAATGAACCATTTACTATTTAAAACATTACGATTATAAGCAATATGATATATGAAACAATATGCTGAGTCTGTCATACTGTAGGAGAAAACCAAAAGTAATATTTGACCCAGGACTGATAGTGAACAGTGTATCCATGATGATGTAAGGCTGCAAATGACAAACAGAGGAAGGGACTGTGTGTGTGTGTGTGTGTGTGTGTGTGTGTCAGTAGACACATTTTGTAAACTTGATCCTCATCATCGGATTACACCTCTGTAACCTCTGTCATAATCCATGTGGCGGCGTTTACCACAATATCATTTCCATCATCCTACTGACATGCGAGCACACACACACACACACACATTGACCTCAGAGTTGATCTCCTAACTGAACATTATCTCACAGCATTTCCTGGTATCATTTTGACTGATATGAACTAATCATGACCTCTGACCTTCAGAAGCAGCACAAGAAGTAGCCACAATATTGCCTGCAGTGAGCCCAAACATGGTGTCTGAACAGAAAATAAAGCTTTTCCTCATTTTCCAGGCTTGCAGAGCCTGGAAAAGCTTTGTTGAAACTTATTTAGTATTTTGACTGTATGGGATGTGTGTTGTAAATGTGTGACAGAGGTGCTTTCAAACAGCAAAACATAGTTCAGTTGTGAGTTTGATCTCTCTCTGCCTCCCTCTATCTCTTTCTCCATAACATCCACAACTCTCCATGCATGTGTCCTATTTAAATATTTGTATCTTCATAATTTAATTTGTTTGCAGTGCCTGCGGTCCGGGTCAAGAGATGAAAACCAGCCTTTGGTTGCCTCCGGTACATTTGCATTAATGTGAAAATAAAGTTACTCTGCTCGCGATACCATAACTGCACACCGTGTTAGTCGATTACATAATGAGAGTGAGGAGACTAACATGACTCGGGTGAACCCCATGGGTGTACTGACTCTCTCTCTCTCTCTGATGTTCAGTGAGGCTGGCAGAGGAGAGGACCGCAGGGCAGAGAAGCAGTGCACCATGGGAAGGTCATGATGCTGCCGCCAGGATAACGGGTCAATGCAGCATTGGGAGAGAGACAGAGAGACACACAGAGAGAACGATTTTAAAGAGAGAGATTTTAGATTTTCTATTTATGGTTCTCATGATTACCATAAACTGTATAACTCATGTTGTTATCCTTCATTTTGTCTGTCTGTCTGTCTGTCTTCTGTCCCTATCTTATTATCCTATCTATCTATCTATCTATCTATCTTATCTTATCTATCTATCTAATCTATCTATCCATCATCCCTCACACATTCCATCCCATCCATCCATCCATCTATCTATCCTATCTA